ATTGAGTTCGCGCGACGCGCCGCCGTCGCCGTCGCCAACGCGCAACAGGTCGAAGACCTCGTGTGGCAACGCGACTCGCTCGTGGAGCAGGCCGCCAGCGATGTGCGGATGCTCGGCGAGGCGCCGGCGATCGCCGCGTTACGCAAGACCATCCAGCGCGTCGCCGACGCCGACCTGGCGGTGCTGGTGCTCGGCGAGAACGGCACGGAAAAAGAAGTTGTCGCGCAGTCGCTCCACTTCCAGAGCCGCCGCCGCAACGCGCCGCTGCTGGCGGTGAACTGCGCGGCGATCGCCGAGTCGCTCTTGGAGAGCGAACTGTTCGGCCATGAGAAGGGCGCCTTCACCGACGCGCGCGAGTCGCGGGCCGGCAAGTTCGAGCTCGCCGACGGCGGAACGCTGCTGCTCGACGAGATCGGCGACATGTCCCCCGGGGGGCAGGCGAAGCTGCTGCGGGTGCTCGAAGACAAGACCGTCGTGCGCGTTGGCGGCTCGGAAGAACGCAAGGTCGATGTGCGAGTCGTCGCCGCCACCAACCGCGACCTCGCCGAGCGCGTCCGCGAAGGCAAGTTCCGCGAAGACCTCTTCTATCGGCTGTGCGTGGTGACGATCGAGCTGCCGCCGTTGCGCGACCGTGGCGACGACGTGATCCTCCTCGCCGAGCACTTCTTGAAGCAGTACAGCCAAAAGCGCGGCCGCAAGACGCCAAAGCTCTCCGCGACGGCCAAACGAAAACTTACCAGCCACAACTGGCCCGGCAACATCCGCGAGCTACGCAACCTGATGGAGCGCGTCGCGTACCTGACCGACGAGCCGATGATCGAAGCCGACGACCTGGCGATCATCGACCGCGGCCCGACCCGCGGCGCCGGCGGCGAGCTGGCGATCGAAGGCGAACTGACCGAAGCCACAGGCGAGTTCCAACGCCGCCTCATCAATCGAGAAATCGAACGCGCTAGGGGCAACGTCGCCGCCGCGGCCCGGTCGCTCGGGCTTCATCGTTCCAATCTTTATCGGAAGATGAAGCAACTCGGGATGGACACCGAAGAAGATTGAACCACAAAGGAACGAAGGAACAAAGAGAGTAGGATGGCGCCTTAGGCCCATCGCCTCAGTTCGGAGCCAACATCAAGAAGTGATGGGCCTTCGGCGCCATCCTACGAGCGAAAGAAATCTGTACCCCGAAGGAACTAACGAAGAGAAAAGTCGTCGTCTTCATTCTTTGTTCCTCCGTTCC